ACAGACCCAAACCCTTGGATCTTAAGAACAATGACAAATCAATCAGGTTCTTAAAAGAAGAATTTTAATTAAAGAAAAGGCAAAAGAATCACCTCTGTAAAATCAGGATGGAAAATACTTTACAGGGTATTCAAATTCAAAACACAGAGGATCCCCCTCTGGGCAAAACCTTAAAGTTACAGAAAACAGGAATAAATCTCCCTCTTAACAGAGGGAAAATTCACATAAAACAAAAGATAAACTAATCCGGCTTGCCTGATTTACCTATACTGGTTGCAATATTGGAGACTTGGATTAGGATGGGTTGGAGAAGATGGATTTCTGTCTGGCCTCTCTCAGTCCCAAGAGAGAACCAACACGTAAACAAAGAGCACAAACAAAAGCCTTTCCCCCCCAAGATTTGAAAGTATCTCGTTCCCTTATTGGTCCTTTGGGTCAGGTGCCAGCCAGGCTGGCTGAGCTTCTTAACCCTTTACAGGTAACAGGATGTTGCCTCTGGCCAGGAGGGATTTTATAGCACTGTATACAGAAAGGTGGTTACCCTTCCCTTTATATTTATGACACCCTGATTTAAGGTTAATCTGCATAGCCATCCAGCTTGGAACCACCATCCCCTGGAAATACCTCTATATTAAAGAAAGGCCAGGTGCCAAGCTAACACATAGTGACACATTAATCTTGTGCACAGGCTTATTAATTAGCTGTAAATTCAAATCTCTCAATATCTGCCCCACTTCTGTGAAATGGAGTTCCGTACATTCCTTCCGAACCCACGTTAGGCACCCATCATGTGCATTGTCCATTTTTTCAAAATATGAAACTTATTTAACATATTTAGCATAAATAAACATCTGGATTCTGGTTTTCTTCTCTCCTGATATTTACAAGTTCCACTGTTTAGTTCCCTCTTAGTTCCTATTCATGTTCATGGCTACATTTCTTAATCTTAAGCCTGGCTGAGTGTGAAAAGTCTTTGGCGAGTTAAACTTTCATTATAAATGTGACTTAGAAACTCTCCCTTGACTCTCAGCTCTTTCTCTGCATTAGACAGTAGACACCAAACACCAAAGAACAGCTGTTTAGGAATCTCGCCTTGTAATATTTTAAGCCATTCTAACTTTTTTCTGCATTCGCTCTCTCTCTCTTCATTGGGCTGATTCAGACACTCCTGGACTATGGGGAATTTCAGATTTGGGTCCGACATGGACTCAACTAATGAGAAGGTAGAATTCTGTACATGCTGAAGCCCTGGGACTCTGAGAGGCACAGAGCAGGAGACTGTGTGTGTGTTGCAGAAGTCAAGGTGAGAAGTGACCACAGCATAGACTTTTTTCAGAGTAACAGCCGTGTTAGTCTGTATTCACAAAAAGAAAAGGAGTACTTGTGGCACCTTAGAGACTAACCAATTTATTTGAGCATAAGCTTTCGTGAGCTACAGCTCACTTCATTGGATGCATACTATGGAAAGTATAGAAGATCCTTTTTATACACACAAAGCATGAAAAAATGGGTGTTTACCACTACAAAAGGTTTTCTCTCCCCCCACTCCACTCTCCTGCTGGTATAGACTTTGTTAGAGGGAGTTGAGTACACAGGCAAAGTTACAGAGAGGCAGATTTGCAGGCATAGATTCTCCTTCTTTCATATGATATCACAAGTCGATATCTAGATTGTTTAGCCATCTAACTGCTGCATCATCAAGGGCAACAAGGTGTTCCAGTCCACCCTCCAGTCATCTAATCATGCACTCCTCCACCACATCTGACTGTCTGCATCACAGCCCCACAGTCATGCTGTGAAGATGGAACTAAGCCACATTTCTGCATTGTGGCAGCCACTCTAGCCATTCCAGTCACAGCCTGCTAAGCCTTGTACTGGATCTGTGACCCAGGCTGCAACGTGGTGGGTGTAATTTGAGCTTCTGAAGTTCATCATCCACATGCCTGGCTCTCTATCCCAGAGTTGCTGCCGCTCTGTGAGGACATAGCTGTCGGCCCCTGTACACCATTGCAGGCCTTAGGTGATGTGCAAGAAGAAAAATTCAGATCCGAGTATGAAGATCCCAAGGAAGATCCCAGTATGAGGGACCTTGGAGGCAAATGGAATCCTTTCAAAGAGGCTTTCATTAGTTTCTTAACTGGCAGGTGAGCTTCAGTGGTAAGTGAGAGGAAGAAAACTGCCCATTTAAAAAAAAACCAAAAAACCAGGAAGGTAATAGATGCTCAGTAACTCTCTGATACCACAACTATTAGAAATGGGAGTCCCCTGCACCAATGGGGAAGGTGATCTTCTGCAGAAGTCCTTAGAGATCAGAGGGAGAATTTGGACTCACCCAGATAACTAAACATCATTGCCCATAAGCCATACTCCCAGTATCTCTACCCATGGCTGTACAGGGCAATTAGCAATAGACACACCCCTATGGCTCTATGTAGCCAGGGACTGATGGCCCTGAGAATTGGGAGTTATTGGAGCTTCACAAGTGGGGAGCTGATTAGCACAAGCTCTGCCGCCTCCGGGGCAGCTCCACAACTTGTTGATGTGAGGCTGCGTTATTTTTAGAGATCCAGCCCACAGATGCGATTGTAGAAATTGGCCCCTCAAGCTCTAACTGAGTGGGTTGTCACTGTCAATGCACTTCCAAAGTGAAAACAGCCATGCTAAAAAAAGCAAAACTCTGTCATACAACACAGGGGGAAATATAACCGGGGGGGAGGGTTCCCTTTCAAGTTTTATTTATAAGAACAACACGAGATGCAACAGTATGTGTAAACCTCCTTATGCATCATATGGATTCTGTAACCCCCTTTCTCTTTGGTCACATGGACTGAGCCTGAAAGGTGTGGATGGCCGTCAATTCCAGTTGAGGATGAGAGACTGGAACAGAAATCGTGGGCGTTGAAGGTGCTTAGCAGCATGCAGGTTTGGAGCCACAGGGCTTGGGCACAGGATCTCCAAGCCAACATGCCTTCCTCCCTGGATTATTTGCCTACTGTTACCTCCCTGCTTTTCAATCATGAACCTACTGATCTCCTTCCCTGTTTATTGACAGCCTTCCCTGGGAATAAATTGTATAGGGTTTATTATCCTTTTGAGTAACATAGTTCTGTCAGAGTTCCTACTTTTGACTCGTAGGATACCTGCAGTGGTTGCCACTTAAAAAGTCTGTGTTAGCAGTTGCTACACTATGGCATGCAAGATGTTTGTTGCTCTTTCTCTCTGAGATCTTCTCTGTTGATACCATTCCCATCTTTGTGGTGGTGTGGTAACTGTCGATAACTGTTGACTTTTCAATAGTGCACACAGCATCGGAGTTTCGTATTTCTGAGATGTTCAGAAAAACATGTCTCTGTCTGTCAACTTCCTGCACGGAATATCTCTCTCTCTCCTCCCCCGCTTTCAGTCCAGATTGTATCCCACCCCTTTGAGTGTGCAAGGGAGAGTACCCCAGGAGCCTCCATTCTTTGTAGCCATAGAGGCTCGCCACAACTGCAGTCCTGGTGCTACCTGAATGTGGCTAGACCGATTAGGTGAGTTCTGGCAACCTACAACACAAAGGTTTGAATGACTCAGAACTGAGTTTTGCTTTGGAAACTAATAGACACTGGTGGTTTTGGTTTAGGGTCACTTTGCATTCTGGGGTTCAGTCTAATCAAGACTAAGAGTGCAGACTCTCAAAAATGTCTACACAAAACCCCGTGAACCAATCCCCGACAGTTCTGTGTCTACACTATATATTGCATTTGCCATCTGCTGCTCAGTCATCTAACCCATCCCAATGCTTTTGAATCTGGTTGCATTGTTTCTCAGCATTTGCTCTGCCTCCAACCTCATTATCATCTGTAAAATTGGACACTGGGCCTGCTTTTGATCTCACTTGTGCCAGTAAAAATCAGGACTAAACATTGCCATAAAAACAACATAAAATGAACTCCGAACCAGGCTTATTGTCAATATCCAGCGACAAACCAAATACCTTGTCCTTGACTTCTTTTTACTCCTGCTCTGATGTCAGTTTCCTACCTGGTACTATTTTAATTCCTACACCATGACTTTACCTTAGCACCTATTATGAACATCCCATTTTCCGAGAACAATGTTTCACTTACAGTAACATACTCCCTAGAAAGTGACACTTAAGAGAGGTCTGTGTAGATGCGTTATTCTTATTAAAGGGTAGGATGGTATCTTACCTTTAAAAGCACATCTACCTCACATAAAGAATAGGCCTTTTTATGAAAAAAGCTATGTTTCTTATGAGGAAGAATTCATGAAGCTTGTAACTAGATCTTGCTTTTATGCTATGAAAGTCAGTAATAACCCTTCCTCATTCCAGCCTGTGCTTGAATAGAGCTGTACTACCTCCAGTCCGCTCCAACGGTCTGCACTCTTTCAGCCATGTCATCTCGAGCTGCAATCTAATCAGATTTCCTAAAATGAAGCAGGATCAGCGTTGGTTTGTTCTTGGATAGGAGACATCAAAGGAAGAAGCCCAAGTTGTTGCAGAAAGTGATGTTTCCTTTGATTTCAATAGAGAAACACACCATGCTGTTTAAAGGGCACTGTGCTATCTTTTGGATGAGCCATAATGCCACATTGTTCATCATTTGTGCTCATTAAAGATCTCATAATATACATCACTAGAGTTGGGGTTTGAATCCCAATGTCCCGGCCAGGTCGCACTTCAGATCATTACATTCTGCCTTAAATTCCCATAGCAGTTTCTATTGCATATTATGTTATTTCAGTCACCTAACTATTTTGAATTGTTGCTGCTGTGTGTTGTTGTTAGGTGCTCTGTTTTATCCCCAGAGATGGGTGCAATTTAGTGATAGGTGAACTGTTTCCTATCTGCAGCGAGTGTCACTCTTGGATTATGTGGGTTGCAATTAGAGGGATGCAGTTGTTAGCACATCCTGTGTGTTCTTTGGTTCTTAAAATAGGGCTTGGTTCTTTAAAAACCTTCATCCACTGATAACTTTGGTGACAATGTCTTGCAGTGGAAATCCATGTCTGATGAATCCTGCTTTCAAAGCATCAGTGAATTTTGGCTGCCCACTGCTGTGTGCTACAGTAATGAAACAAGCTATTGGTTTGAGGTAAGTGCAGTTACTAGACAGGTAATACAGTTATTCAACTATAAATGAAACTATTGCATTTTTGTAGCACAATGCTCTCGAAACATTTGTGTTTAACTCAGTAAATAGCACATTTCGCTACTATAGATAGATACACAGGCCTACAACCAGCAGCTCAGCTATTACAAAGTAACCCCATAAAGGCCGGAACGCAAAGAGGAGCGTGGAAATGACTGCCAGTCTGTCTGTTGGCTAAATGTTTCTGTGCCACTAGTACCCAGGATTTTAAATGTTCTTTAATAATCTTTAAACTGAAATGCTGTGACTTTCATGGCCCAGAGGCTTTCCATTACGTCCCCAGACTCCCAATTCAGACATATTCTTAATAGAGTCTGATCCGAAGCCCATTAAGTCAATAGAAATACTCCCACTTCAGTGGATTTTGGATCAAGTGTTCAGTAAAGTTCTGCTTACAGAAGTTGCTACCTCCAGTCTTTACCAATACAAAAGAGAGGTAACAGGAAACTGCACTATGCAAAAGGTTCTAGATTACAGAGAGTAAACATCTCTCACAGTGATACAATTACTATACTAACCTGTTGATCTCCCAGTCATTTGAAATGGCATACATTAAGGATGTGGCATGGGATAGGAATGGTTAAAAGACACTCCTCATAATTCAGTCTGTCTAGTGGGAACACGGGGAAGGAAATAGCAACTGTTGTGCATTCCACAGGAAAAAGTCTTCATTGAAAGTTGAAACTAGGGAAATAGCATACTTTGTAATTGTCACCTTTGGATCCAAGGAGAAATTTTTTCTATGGGGATAAGACATTCTCCACAAGGAAAATGTCACCTGTTAGGCTGGTGGCTACAGCACAATGTTGGATTGTTGGCTAGTATATAGATTTCTCCAATACACCTATTATGATATGGTAATCTGTCAATATTCTGAAAAGGCCTGACCCAGAGTACATTGAAGTCAATGGAAAAACTCCAATTGACTTTAATGGGCTCTGGCTCAGATCCTGATTGACGCTCCAGTCTAGTTTGAAGGTACTTTTCACAATATCCATGTCAAGCATTTAGGGACAGATGAGCAGGACTGCTCCATGAATAGTCCAACGTCGTAAGGTACTACTCAGTGTTCGTAAGGCTGGTAGAATCTGTCCCATAACGTTTAACAATTTTCTACTTTCTCTAAAGTCACTTGAGTTATATTTTTTTAAAATGTTTATATCCAAGTGGAACAGCAGGGGAAAGCTTAGAATGTGATTAATCATGTTAGAATTGGTACTGGACACTGACCTTAACAGTCTTGCTCTTGTGACATTGCCATGACGTTTTTAATCAGCACCAGTGCTCGGGACCTTTACTTTTGCACCTCCATCCAGTGTTGATGCATCACTCTTCTTTCGCACTCTTTGCCCTGTTATAAAGAAGTAACTGAGCAGAGAATCATCATTCAGTAATTGAATGGTCCAAGTTTTGCAAGCAAATTGTTAACAAGTATTGTCATGACTTGTAACTGTGCCAGTGTTTAACTGACAGATCACCTGGGAACAAAGCAGGCTGGAACTATAAAATTGTGTCCTAATTCTGTAAATGAAGAATGAATGCCAGGGGCCATAAAAAATGTTCTTCGCAATTTAACTGCTCTTTTATTTAAGATCCAGAAATTAAACTTTTTAGCCCTGGACCTGCTTGTCTACCCCGGCACATTGAAATCAGTGAAGCCTCAGGGACCATAGTACCTGCTCCCAGAAGAAGCAGAGGTAGAAAAAGATCCATCTGGGATGTGAAAGGAATAACCAACTCCTCCTTAGTTGCCAGCTCAAGAGTGCTTGCACAGACTGATCCCAGTAATAACACATGATCAGGCAGAAGGTCTTGGCTACATGACAAATGCATAGCAAATAAGAATTTTAATCCAATTTGTCATAAAAGGGGAAGAAGAAAAAACAGATGGAGAAAACAATTAACTGATGGACAGTTGAACTGGATTAAAATTCTTATTTGCCTTGGGTGAGGACATCAGCGAGGTCTCTTCCACCTCATTGGTTGTTACAAAGCTAAAAAGAAAAGAACTTAGCAGGCAAATCAGAAGATACAGGAGTCTCCCCAAATCTTCCTTAGAGCTGCCTGGCTATTAAGATGGGAGAGTTCCTTTTTCGCCACTTCAGCCATGAAGTGGGACTTGATTTGGATCTAGGAATCTACTTTCAAACCTAGGGGGTTTGATTTTGGACAGAACTGTATATTTCTGAAGTAAAAGTTCCTTTTGCTCTGGCAAGATACGAGTTCTGGGACACTACGTGTTTTTATTTTACAAGCAGAACAAGAATTAGTGTGTTGCACTGCATCGTCTATCTGTGCATTGGAACCCTTTTGTATTTTGATCATCTCCGCCTTGAGGAGGAACTTGTGTCTTACCAACTGGCCTTTAACAACTAGGCTCCAGTTCAGCAAGTTTCTTAAGCATGTTTCACTATGGCAGGGTAAATAATGGGTTTTTCAGTTTGATAGCACTTAAAACAAATCATTTTGGTTGGAACAAATATTTTTGTTTCAATTTCAAGCATTTTTTAAATGTTTTTGAATTTTATAAATAAAATTAAAGACAATTTAAAAAAAAAAAAAGGAAATTCAAACTGAAAAATCAAAACATTTTTGTTTAGATTTTCCAGATTTTTTTTTAACTACCTTTCCCCAAAACAGACACTTTGGCAAGATTGACATGAATTCATGAAACATTTCAGTGTTTACGAAATCTGTTTTATGCTGGCAAAAAGTTTGTCAAAAATTAGCACAGCTCTACACTTAACTTTAAAAATGTAAGCAATCTCTGGCCTTGTCTACACTATGGGGGTAAGTCGACCTAAGTTACGCAACTCCAGTTACGTGAATAATGTAGCTGCAGTCGACATAGCTTAGGTTGACTTACTGCGGTGTCTACACCACGCTGCATCGACAGGAGACCAGAGCACCAATCTGTGGTCGATTTAACGGGTCTCTTCACTAGACCCACTAAATCAACCCCAGTGCATCAATCACCGCAGCTAAGTGTAGACATGCCCCTCTTGACTTCAGTGGGACTAAGCACAAGAATGTGTCTAGCTTTAAGCAATATTTCAGGGATTCTCAAACTTCATTACACTGTGACTCCCTTCTGACAACAAAAATTAGTACATGACCCCAGGAGTGGGGGAACCGAAGCCTGAGCCCACCTGAGCCATACTGCCCTGATTGGGAGGGCTAAAGCTTTAGCCCCAATGTCCCGGGGTGGGTGGGGGAGGCAAAGCTGAAGCCCAAGAGCTTCAGCCCCAGGCAGGGGGTCTGTAACCTGAGCCCCGCCACCCAAGGCTTGAGCCCTCGGGCTTTGGCTTTAACCCTGGGCCCCAGCAAGTCTAAGCCAGCCCTGGCAACCCCATTAAAACGGAGTTGCGGCCCACTTTGGGGTCCTGACCCACTGTTTGAGAACTACTGATTAGTCCCGTTGAAGTCGGTGGGGGATTGTTTACATGTTTAAAGTCAAATGCATGTTTAAATACGTTGCTGAATCAGGTCTATAATCACCCTCACTAGAAGAAAAATTACTCTCCAAGGAACTGTATTGTGTGCATTATTTATTCTTTATTGTTTGCATAGGCTTCCATGTAGAGATAGATGGGTGTTTTTAAAAACAAAAATGTCCTGTGAAAAACAGTTATTAGAACCAAGGAGGAAAATGTTTTGCACATTCTTTTGCCAGACTCAGAACTTTAAAATAAAAATTTCTAGATGCTTTACGAAACTCCAAACTTCTCAACTATGTAAACTGCAAATAGCTGCAGCATTCCTACCAAAAAAGGGTTGTATTTAATCTGAAACTTCCAAATAGTTGTTCCCTGGGTAACTTGTGCAACCTTGATAACATGCATAACAGAACATGCGTGGGTCTTCTATGACAAACTCTCTGTCGCCTCTATAATATAGATTTTCCCCCCTTTTACTCATTTAAATATTTTGCAGAACTCTATCTGGAAACCTAGAAAAGTGCTGTGGGTGAAGAGTCTCCTGCTGGGAACATCCACTCTCTAGCTGCCAGCACATTTACTGGGGCTTATAATTCAGTTAGAAGTCCCTAGTTAAGAACTCCATCAAACTCCTTGTATGGGACAAACCCCAGGGTTGTTTGAGGAGGGAGAAGATTTTGAACCATGTGTGTTCAATTTAACCAGTCACAAAACAGGCATTCTTCAAAGCCAACCTTCCTCACAAGGAAAACAAATAACCTTATTCCAAATCTAGTTAAACAAAACCGACTGCTTGGAGGGAAGATTCTCAAATAGATGACTTGCACTAGTGCAGTCAGTGATGAAAATGTGCTGGGTACCAAAGACTGTCTTCATGCTGCCCACAGTCACATCTCACTCTAAAAGAAAGTGTTTACTTCTTCAGTGAAACACAGTACAGATTCCCTCTTGCCTTACTCTAGAGCAGCCTGAATGAATCACCTGCAAAATTACCTTACCAGACTTCCTTTGAAACAAACAAAGGCAATTTCCACGGTATACATCTGATGAAGTGAGCTGTAGCTCACGAAAGCTCATGCTCAAATAAATTGGTTAGTCTCTAAGGTGCCACAAGTACTCCTTTTCTTTTTGCGAATACAGACTAACACGGCTGTTCCTCTGAAACAAAATCTGATTTATCATGACAGCAAAATGAATTGAAATGTGGGGAATGACTGGGTACCCTTGGAGTACTTTCTCGTTTTAACTCAAAACCCCCCTACAAGCACATGCACGGGGCCCATGGTCTCTCCTGAGACCGGGGAGGGAAACATTTAGGGAGATGAATGTGTCTGTATGAAGTGGCAATCATTTCCTGCTGAGCAGCACCATCTAGAGGGCTTTGTAAGCCAAGCGGCAGCATAAAGCAGGGAAGAGGGATGACAACATGCATGCCCTCCATGGTGGACTCAACAGAAAAGATTTCTGTATTTTAAAATTTTTAAACTTCTCTCGCATCTTGAAAAGGTATGGGCTTGGTCCAATCCTTTATTTCAGTCTCCCTGCATTTCCTCTAAGGGTGGAGCAGGTAAGTTAATACTGACCAATCCCATGGTGTCTGGTTTGCAGATGATGTCACCGTGAGCGGCCTTCTCCCCGTCCTGCCGCCACCTGTGAATCCCAGTTCCCTGGCAGCACCACCAGTGGGGTGAAAGGAGAAAGGTGAGCAATACAGCTGAGATGATGCTTCCCCATTCTGAGCTGGGATATGTGCTCTCCCCTCCCCCCCACCAGTCTTGCTTTTATGGAAACAGAGGGGATGGGCAGGGCCCACAACTGATCTTAAAGCAGACAGACAGCAGTTTAACAGCCATTCAAATTCATGCCTACTGCACAGGATGTGCATGGAAATAGACCTCGGTCCTGGCTTTTGTTAGTAGATAGTAAGGACTTCCTAGCCAGTTTCAAAAGGGTTCATTATACTGAACTGAGTATTTAACGGCTTTTAATACTTAGAGCATAAATCCCCTTCTTGTCCATGTCAGCTTCCTAATAACGCTTGATCCTTGGCAACAGCCACTGTATATGAAAACCTACAAAACTTCTTCTCCGGCATATGGGCCTAATCCTGCACCACTGAAATCAATAGCCAAACTTCCATCAGCTTTAATTATGTAAGATTAAACCTCATTAAAGTCAATGGGAATTTGGTGACAGACTTCAATAGGAGCGGGATCCCCTTTCAAGGTTAAAGTTATGATCAGAATAAGCATTGCCGCTAAATTCTATATACTATGAGTCCCCTTCCCATTGATAGTCTTAAATCATTCTCACACACACACACCATCTATAAACACACTTTTAGGAATTTCACAACAGTCCCAAATAAACTGAATATAAACTGGCCATCAGGAAGTTTAGACTGGAAATTAGATGAAGGTTTATAACCATCAGAGGAGTGAAGTTCTGGAACAGCTTTCAAAGGGAAGCAGTGGGGCAAAAGACCTATCTGGCTTCAAGATTAAATTCAATACGTTTGTGGAGGGGATGGTATGATGGGGTAATGTGATTTGGGCAATTAACTGATCTTTAACTATTCATGGTAAATAGGCCCAATGGCCTGTGATGGGATGTTAGATGGGGTGGGATCTCAGTTACTACAGAGAATTCTTTCATCTGGCTGGTGAATCTTGCCCACATGCTCAGGGTTCAGCTGATAGCCATATTAGGGGTCGGGAAGGAATTCTCCTCCATGGCAGACTGGAAGAAGCCCTGGGAGTTTTTCACCTTACTCTGCAGCATGGGGCATGGGTCACTTGCTGGAGGATTCTCTGCACCTTGAAGTCTTTAAACTACGATTTGAGGACTTTAATAGCTCAGACATAGGTGAGAGGTTTATCGCAGGAGTGGGTGGGTGAGATTCTGTGGCCTGCGTTGTGCAGGAGGTCAGACTAGATGATCACAATGGTCCCTTCTGACCTTAATGTCTAGGAGTTTCCAAAGACTTTACATTAGAGCTGTGCAAATAACAGATTTTTCAGTTCAGTAGCTGAACTGAAAAATCAAGAAAAATTCATTTCAGGTCCAACAAAACATCTTGTTTGAAATGAAGCTTTTTTGTTTGGGGTTTTTAATTATTTTTAATAGTCCTTTGGAATTGAAAAATCAAAACGTTTCATTTCAAAAATGTCTAAACTGAACACTGATTTTTTTTGGAAATTTTCACACGGAATTCATTAAATATTTGACTCCACTTTGCATTTTTCATTTGAAAAAATATTTTGTCCGTACAACTTCACCCAGCTCTAATTTCGATTCATAAGGCTTTGATAACAGGAGAGACACCTTGTGCTGGGCTTTGGTATTCAATGGGGAGCTATTGCAGAAAATGTAGCACCAGGGATGTTTGTTTGCAGTGACCTGTGTTGCTAAGCATATGGAGTGCTGGGCTCTTCGGCAGATGGATTCGGGGCTGGGGCGGGGGTTAGTTTAATTCCTAGATACGAGTTGTAGTCAAACCTAGAAGTCACAAATGTGCCGATCTCTGTGTCTGATAGGTTGGGATGTCATATACTAGCCAGTTGCCGATGGCAGTGGCTGATTTTTATAGCCATGGCTAACTGGAGATCCAGTAGGACTGAGAAGTCAAAAGGATCACAAGGCTGTGAACTGACTGAGCAGTGCAAGAGCTGCTTTTTATAATGGTGTATATTAGGAGGAACAAGCCATTTCTTCCTACCAGCATCCTCTCCACATTGCCGGGGGTTAGCTTCAGCCAGCTCCACTCCATCCAGGTATTCCTCTCCACTAGGCAGTGGGAAAGCTGGGCATGGGTGCTATTTATGTGTAAGCAGAGTCTGAATGAGCTCTCCCCTGACATCTAGTGATGAGCTGTTGAAGAAGACTTCAGGAGCTGATCTCGTTTGCATGGGCAAACCCACCCTGCCTAGGTGTTCAGCATGATGGGATTGCTTGCCCGTGTGGTCGCTTTTGGCTGGTGTTGGATTCCCAGTCTCCTTGTTATTGGGGCAGGAGTAATCCTTGTTATGTGAATCCTGGGCAGCAGAACTGTACTTGGCATTTCCCAATGGAGAGACTCACCCTCAACTAAGCGCCACTCGCTAGGCAGGCGACATGGGTTCCAAAGCCCAGTGAGGAGAGAGATGGTGGGGACAGGTACTTGTACTTGGTGGTGTGGGCCCTAGACACCATCTGACCCTTCTTCTCTCCACTGTGTAATAACAGAGCTAATTTAGTCTCAATTTAGTCTTGTTACACGCTGCAGAGTTGAAATCACTGATACCTAGCTCTGAATATTAGACTTGCTTTGGGATAGTATCTCTGATGCAAGGGACTACCCAGTGTGCACCAGCAGTGAGGCTCCCCCACTAACAGCTGAAATCACTGAGAGTTGTGTTGAGTGGTGGGCCCTGAAGACATCTTGGCGAGCGGCCAGCAGGTCGGCTGGCAGAGGGTGGGGTGGGGGGGCGGGGGGGGGGGGGGGGGGGGGGGGGGGGGGGGGGGGGGGGGGGGGGGGGGGGGGGGGGGGGGGGGGGGGGGGAGGGGTGGCAGAGAGGTGCGGTGAGCGAGGGGGAGGTGCGGTGAGCGGCCAGCAGGTCGGCTGGCAGAGAGGTGCGGTGAGCGGCCAGCAGGTCGGCTGGCGGAGAGGTGCGGTGAGCGGCCAGCAGGTCGGCTGGCGGAGAGGGCCAGAGCAGAGCCCCACAGAGAGGCGTGGAGAGGTGCCCGAGCGGCAGGCGAGGGGGGGCGGGGGTCGGGGGGGGGGAGGTGGGTGAGCGGCCAGCAGGTCGGTGGGGAGAGGTGCGGTGAGCGGCCAGCAGGTCGGCTGGCGGAGAGGGCCAGAGCAGAGCCCCACAGAGAGGCGTGGAGAGTGAATGCCCGAGCCGCAGAGCGAGTAAGATGCCTCCTTACTCCCCCTCTCCCTCCCCCCTCCCTTCCCCCTCCCCCTCCCCCCCAGCTGGGAGTTGAATGCTGCAGATGCAACTCTGGGTCTGTGCTGTCCAAGGACAGCAACTGTGAGTGGGGTACAGAGAAGGGACGGCCACATTAAAGGGACTTTTGGGTTGCTGGACTTAAGAACCTGAGGGGAAAAGGACACTGCCCAACTTACTTGCAGGTTGGTCTTTCACTCATGGTTTATGTTTGAGCCCTGTTTGCAGTGTTTCCCCAAATTAATGCAGTTATTTCCCTCCTTTTATTAAAAGTTTTTTGGTACACTCAGACTCTGTGCTTGAGAAGGGAAGTATTGCCTTTTAGAGGTGCCCAGGGGGTGATGTGTAATTGTCCCTGGGTGGAGGCTTGAGGCAGTTTTGTGTTGTATTGTTGAAAAGGAACCCCTAGATACTGAACCTGGCCCTTGTTGATGCCAACTCTGACGGGCAGAAGGGTTACATACGTCTGACACACGAGATGTAGAGCTGTATGTCATCACCATATTAATGGTACTCCACCAGCTTCCTGGCTACCTTCAGGTGGATGCTGAATAAGATGGGATACAGAACTGAGCCTTGTGGAACTGCATAGGCAAGGCCCCTGGAAGCAGAGTGGTCAACTGACCATCGCAACCCTCTGAATTTAGTCTGAGAGGAAAGATACATGCTGTTTCGGGGTATTTCCATACACCTCTGTGTTCTCTTGGGGGTGGGCAGGAGCCTGTAGTGATCAACTATCTTACGTACTGCAGAGAAGCCCAGCAGGATAAGTATGTGTGGACATCATTCACCAAAGCAGTAAGGGCTGTGTCTGTACCATGTCCTGGCCTGAAGCCTGAGAGAGGTTCCAGGGCATTGGAGACTGGTGTTTTGTGTCCCACTCCCCACCACCTTCTTGATTAGGTTGCTCAGAAAAAGTTAGACATAGCACAGTGACTTGTATGGTGAAAAGCACAGAGTGGTGGCTTTTCTAGTTCTGGTTGGACTATTGTGCAGTTCAGGGTAGTCAGGAGGATTCCCTCTGTGAAGGATGTGTTGATGCTATTGTTAAATCTCAGGTGTGTTCTCTTCTCTCTTTCCAAGCAGAAAGGGCAGGTGGTGCCCAGTACCGGGGGTGGCCCTGATTGCGATGACTTCTTGTGCAATTGGGCTGAATTCTCTCAGGGAGGACTTTGTGCCTTTTTAGTCCTTTGTCAGGCTTGTTGTTCCTACTACCCCATGAGGCCCTCTTGGATGGAGAGATCACCTGTATGAAATAAGACAGTTCCACACAGAGTGAGATGTGAGGTTCTGGGGGGCATGGGGAGGCTTTCTGGGTTTCCGAAATGATTTAGTTTGGAAAGGTCCCATCAGTGTTACTATGCTCCCTTTCTGGCAGAGAAGACATTTCAGGGTAAAGACCTACATTTCTAATGCAGAAAAAGGCAAGTCAGAGTCTGAACTGAGCCCTGCTGTCCCACCTTTGCTAAAGCTGCTGAGTGCTTGGCCTGTTCTAGGCTTGCTTTCCTATAATGTCCTTTTCAGTGAATGGACTGAGAGGTTTTGCCCAGGTGCACTCTGCTACAGGACCGTTCGCTGCCTGTATCTTATTCAGGAAGGGTTAGCATCAAAGTCTAAGCATATCACGTCAAGATTTGAAGTTAACTCTCACCCCTAATAAAGCAAATGACTGTGTTCCTCATCCCAACGCCGTAGGTTCTCTTTCCTGGGAACGATTATTCTTGCAGCCAGTGAGGGCTGGAAACATTTCTGTTGAACTAAAGCTTGATTCCAAATCCATGAGTTAATCACATCTATGGGTTGGCCTTGACATCGGTTTTATAGCTAGCCAGTAGGTTTATGATCATGCTATGCTGAAATCAGGCATTTATCTAATAAACTTTGCTGGACTGCTGGCCTCTGCTGTCTCTACTTTTCATTTCCCACATAAGTTCCCCTGGTGCTTTCCCTTTCTAACAGTTCTCCCAGCCCTCCTCCCTTCACCAGAAGGCCAGAATGCTTCCTCTGACAAGCATAGTATAGAAGTGCATCCTGCCTGCATTATTGCTAGGTACGTTATAACTCCAGAGGTAAAGTGGAGTGGTTGTTCTATTGTCCCTCCACATAGCTACTAAATGTAAGGAAAATCCTTTCAAGAAAGAGATCTCTTTTCTCCAGCTTTAGGTGGGTGTCACATATTTAATTATTTTCCTCTTGTTAAAGGGAAGAGGAAGGATGGAGCATGAAATCTCTCCCCAAAAGATACTAATTCAATAAAATGTACCTATTGTATACTTAGGAAATAATTACAGTATCACTGGCAGCAGTTGGCTAAACAGAAGCATCAGTCATTGGGCCTTAGTCCACTGGTGAGCTAGTGCTCTGATGTCTGTGTTATGTACACAGTGTACTTAGCAACATATCATTCACAAATTCCTTTGTAGCCTTAAAAAAGTAATCACCATATTTAGGAATTCTTGGGGGAACTATTTCCCTTGTATATTCTAGTGTGTTTGGTTTATACTCCCAAATATCATCACAAAAAACAGACTAATTCTCACCACAAGAGGAATGTTGAATATACTCTTACAAAGCAACCAAATGGTGAATTACTTTGAGACCGGTTTCAGAGATGTCATAATGCTTAAACTGCTAGGGGAAGATGAGGGGTCATGGTTTTAAATATCTTGCAGGGGTGCTAGGCCAAGGGAAGGAGTAGGATGGCGGAGGGATGGACTAGACTAGTGATTTCTCCACCAGTGGGTCATGATGCCTGGTGGGGGGAGGGGTCATAAGGCATTGAAAAATGTATCACAATCTAAATCAAAGAAACTCTTGTTTTTCCCTTTCCCTGCCCACCCTTACCCTTTAAAGTCAAGTATTCTCTGTCAACCATTTGAAACCCCCTCAAACTATGTAGCCATTGCATTGACACTTTTCTTTAAAAATCTTACAGTAAATGTAAGGAGGTTACAAACACTTTTTTGCTTTTGAATAAGGAGCCATCACCACCCCGAGAACGGCTGAAAAACGATGGACTAGACTGCATGCAACATATCCCAGCCTGCTGGCAGGATCTTTGGAGTAAAGATTTACTGATCAGAAGATACTGTCGGTGTGTCCCACGTGCACAGCATCCTGTGATTGCAGAAGAACCTCAGACAATAAGGGACCTTGGGCCTTTTTATCCTCTCTTTATATGTTTATGAATCAGAATCTTTGTGGGTGAAGAAAATTAGCAGTGACGGGAGATTTTAGTGCTGACTAGGAGGTCTCTGATATTCTGTTTGGGGAAGTTGGGGGGGCTTCACACATTTCTACAGTGCATTCTCAGGAAAACGTGAGCCAGATCTGCACTGGGAAAATGTTGGGTGCATCTGAGGAGGTGGGAGGGGCCTTCTGCCACCTTTCCTCTAAACCCATAGATCCTGGGGGCACAGGTGAATGCAGCCTTAAGGCTGCTCTAATTTGTGCTAGATGCAACAGGTTCCTATGTATGTTTCACAAGCTCAAGATCTCCAGAGCACAAGGCTCTCCAGCCACACCCCTGGACCGCTCCCTAAACCAGGGCACTAAGAACCTGTGGCATGTGGGGTGTTCTGGAGATAAGTTGGTGGGAGCAATGGAATGAGGAGGCATTACTTGTATAAAGTGCCTATTTTATGCTAAACCAAGCATTAATGCAAACACTAAACAATATTACAAACTCTAACCAGTTCAAGTGAGTAAGTTTTGCATATAGACATTCAACTATGTACCTTGTCTCAGCGTCCTCCTGAACGCTGTTTCACCACGCTGGGAGTGCCCGTCGCTATTTTGTTTTTCGTGGGGGTCAAAACAAAGTTCTGTGCTTTGGTGAAAAACAAAGAATTTAGTCCAAGGTTCCTAGAATCTAATCTGGAATGAGCCACAGATTCCCTTGGTGGCCTTTGACAAATGACATTGCCCTAGGTCTAGTTGGAAAACAGAGTAAAGAAAGATTTCCCTGAGGATAAACACGCCCCCACACCCTCATTTAAAATGATGGAGAACTTCTGAACATTGCCATGCAGTGAGCCAGATCAGTGTGGCTTCTGGTGAATTGGGTGCATGCATCTGAATGCTAAATTTGGCCGCCTAACTGGATTTGGGGTACACTTTGTTGTGCTTGTAGAGCAGTAAAGATTTATGCTGAGGAAACTGACCTTGGAGATTTCCTTCAGCTGATTCAGGTGCAGAATGTAAAGGACAGAAGTAAAAACAACCCCCCTCTACTTAAAACTAAGCTAAATTATTACTAAAGTTTGGAAAGCATGGTTTGTCATCCCCCATCGCTATATAAATGTTATTCCTTTTATTGGATAGTGCATATAATATAACTCTCATATTGATGAATAGCTTAGCACAAGAGGACAGGGGAAAGATGACTTTTTTTGCAAAAATTTGCATATTGTGACTGAATTGGCGCAGTATGCAAAACCCCTGTACCACATTCAAGGATACAAGATATGAAATGGAATCATCCTGTGTGTAAGTTTTAATGAAAGTAAAACATTCTGGGGAGAGATTTGTTTTCACGTAATTGAGGAAAATAATTTTAAGCTCCTCAGAAATCCTTAATTTCTAGCTGTTTCGGCAAAGAAACTAAAGATTTTTAAATATAATATGATCACACTATATTTGTATGTTAATGTGTTTGTAAGCAGTGTCAGGATGAGCTCCACCCTGACATCTGGTGGTGAGGTGTGGCAAGTCGTGGAAAAGAACTTCAAGGGCCAATCTCATTTGCATAGGCACACCCACCCCGCCTAGAATGAGGCCATTGCTGCCCAAATGGTCACTTTGGCTGCTGTGGGATCCCCAGTGTTTCTGTTATTGGGGCAGGAAGAATAAATTGTTATTACCCTGATTATGGGAACTGTGCTTGGAACTGTACTTGGCCTTTTGTTATGATGGAGGGACTCGCCATCAACTAAGTGGCATTCTCTAGGCAAGGGTCATGGGTTCCAAAACTCTGTGAATTGAGAGTGGCTGGGGACAAGTATTAATACTTGGTGGCATAGGCCCCTTGGTGAGGGCCTTACATGCTAATTGCACTTCCTCCTCTCTCCACTGTGGAATATCAGAGCTAATTTTGATTTCATTAGAAGTCTAGTTACAGGCTGCTGAGCTCACTTTGGGCTAACAGTGCACCAGCACTGAGGCTCCCCTACTACAAGCTGAATTCACCAAAGAGCTGAACTGACTAAGAGCTGAAATCACTGAGCGTTGTGTTAAGTAGTGAGGGAGCCTGAAGATATATTGTGGAGCAGTTTGCGGGACGGCTGGAGTGCCTTGTGGACAGGCTGGTGGAGCAGTTCGTAGGACGGCGGGAGCTGCTGGTGGGATGTGGAGCAGTTTGTGGGACGGCGGGAGCTGCTTGTGGGCCGCGGAGTGGAGAAAGCTGAGCAAAGGAGTTCTTGGGGCGGCTGGCGGAGTGAAGGCCTATGGAGCTGTGGGGCAGTCAGCTTCAGATCATGTAAGGTGCCTCTTACCCCCATCCCATCTCCACCCAGGTTGGGAGGTAAAGCTCCGCAGATAAACTTTTGAACTCTGGGGCTGCCCTCAGGGACAGAGACTTTTGGGTCATTGGACTTTTGGGACTTTGGGTGATTTGGGGTTGCTGGACTCAAGAACCAAAGGGAAAGGGGCATGCCCCAATTTGCTTGGGGTGGGATTTTTTTGCTCATGGGTTGTGTTATGAATCCTGTTGGTGGTGTTTCCCCAACATAATGCCACATTGTTTCTCTCTGTTATTAAAAGGCTTTTTGCTACACTCAGACTATGTGCTTGCGAGAGGGGAAGTATTGCCTCTTGGAGGTGCCCAGCGGGGGTGGTATATATTTGTCCCAGGTCACTGGGTGGGGGCTCGAGCCGGTTTGCATTGTGTTATTGGAATGGATCCCCTAGATATTGAACCCGGCCCTTGTTGCTGCCAACTCTGACAGGCAGAAGGGTTACATGTTTAATTGTTATGGTTCAGTGCGACTGACCTACAAGCCCTGCCTGGCTTTCTTACCTCTAGTTTTATTTATAACACGTTTTTTTAAATTTACTAAACAACTTTTTTTTCGCTTACCTTGTGAGTTTCTTGGTCAAGCTGTACCACATGAGTGCAGAAAACGTTAAGCAACGACAGCTAATTTGAGGGTGCTGTTTCTTTTCTCTTGGGCTTTGGTGCTTTCATGGGTGAGGTCTGATTTCATTCACAATTGGAGAGCGCTTGTCTCACAGAACGCCAGAGCCTGAGGAATCTGGAAGAAGCTGAGTTCCAAGTTTCTGGCCTCTGTTCTGGGGGTGAGGCACTCGATCTAAGTTATTGTTTGCACACGACAACTATCAAAAGCAGGTTCTCCACCAGTTCAGCCAAACAAATAAGTTTGCCCGTATCTTCTCTACTTGCCAGTTCTGCCATCTATGCAGCCTATGACATGGCTTTTGGTGGTTTTTAAAATGCAAAAGTTAGTGACCGGGGCTGATTTTGAGTATAGTTGAGGTTCTCTCTGTCCCAGGTTTGCATCCACAGGGATGTTGTGAGAATAAATACACTAGAGATTGTGAGGCCATAGAAGTAGCACAGATCGAATCAGTCCAGTCTCCTTGCCCCGTCCATTCCTTGGCCTCCCTATTAAGACTTCCAGTGAGGGACTAAGAAGTTTCATTCAGTGTGGTGAGTTTGTGATGTTGACCCTCGTCTGCAGAACTTGAACAAAGACCCACCAGCTGTGTGGTCCCAGACCAAACAGATGGGAACACATCTCTCCCTGACGGTGTCTAGTTGGATCCTGTGACCCTTGGCACGTTATTGCTTAGGCGTGAAAATAAAAAATGGAGCTCTGTGACGCCCTTTCCTGACTGCAACAATGCCTTTCTTTGGGGTGCTGGATAATACTCAGCACAAGTGGGATTGGTATTCATGTCGCTGAATGGGCCTTGGAAGTACTTTACCTCTGTGTTGGCCAGGCAAGGACTGTACATCAGCAATCGCAGGCATAATTATATTATTCTCAGCCTGCCAAGAACGGCAGCTTTTTTGAGGTCTGTGGCTCTGGTGGTTACAAGCTGGTATGCGGTATTTACAAGGAGCTGTCTGACTGGGAGCCAAGTTGACAAGCCTTTCGTCAACAGGCTACACCATCGGTTTATAACGATGGTGGAATGTACATTGCCACAGTTGCTGCCGTAATTTGGGAAGTGTCCATGTGTCTGAATAATAGAAACAGCATTTATCTGTCTCATCAGCACTTTTAATCCACCACTGCGCATCGCAGTTAGCTGTGATTTTCCATTTCCAAATGGAAATTACCGAACACACTGGAGTTATTTTCTGAAGTGGGATAAATTTAACATAAGTACTTCCTGATCCTATGAGGTGCTGAGGCCCTTTGGTTCCCTTGAGGACACTCAGTCCTGTGGAGGACCGAGGGTTTTTTCTCTCTCAAGGGCTGTGCCCAGCTGTAGCACTGTGTACATAATGTAACAGTCAAGCTATTAATGTAAACTCTTTCATGCTATTGTTTTAAACTATATGTTGGGTGGCGTGGGGATGAGAGCAAATTGTGGCTGATTTGCCGCTGTGACTGAGATCCACTCGGTATAGCAGAAGGGAGGGGATGTAACAGGACTGATTATGGGTCCCTGGATTAGCCCTGGCCCTGTGTAAACTGGTGCAGGCTGAGAGCTTCTCTAGCATACATAAATTGGCAAAAATATCTTTCCCAGCTGAGGACAGTTAGGGGACCGGAGGGAGAGATCACAGCTAGAGAACTGCTACACTCTATGTTGGGCTGGGGGATAGACTGTGTAAGGAGTTGACTATCTTGCCTTTTTCTTCTTTCTTCCCCTCCCTATGCTCTCCCTCCTCCCCCTCGAGGGAGTTCTCAGCTGTCTGGATATGACCCCTTAGATACGAAAGGGCTGGAATGGAGGAGGGAAGCTGGTTACTTGTTTTATTCTCTAACTATAATGTTCATCTGGGACATACTCAGCTTACAGGTCAAAGGATAATGTTTCTAACAGCCAGGCCTGAGAACTCCACCTGGGATCTGAAAGTTAAGCTGGGTTCGTCTCACCTTTGATGAGATCCCCGGTTTAAAAAAAAAGAAAAAAAGATGTGGGTGAAACTTTGCTGGTAATTCTGTGTATGCGTCACGAGGGCAGAATTGAATCCCATAGATGCATTAGCTCTGCAGAGCTGAAGCATAAAATTATTATTTAATATTGGTATTACTCTAGCATCTTGGAGCTAGTATGCGGTAGTCATGGACCAGAACCTTACTATGCTAGTGGGTAGTTTTTGTTTTACAAAGATTATCACATCTGTTGTGTAAAGACGTGCCCTTTAACACAGTCATTGTTCTTACTAAAAATAACACCTTTAAAAAATGCCTGACATCCTGTAGTCTCTAAAGTGTGTCTTTAAACAAATGATCTCCATTAACACACTGCTCCAGCTGTTAGATTAATTTCTTTTTAAAAGTGGGACACTGTAATTCCTTGCAATGCTTAATGTAGGAATGAAATTCCTGGAAATAGTAAAGCATGTGTACTTTGACCAACCTCTGTAAAAATCCACTTATTTCCTTATGGTTGGTGAGCCAGATCTTATACTGATTTGGGTTGCCAGGGGTATAAATCAATGGTTCTTTGCCAGTGCACAGTTGTTTTACAGCAGTAACAATTGAGACCCTGATCCTGCAATTGACTGTATATGGCACACCCCTATTGAAGCCAGGAGAGCTTTGAATGGATGCTCTGACCCAGGATCAGAACCTAAATTTGTAATTCTACCAATCTCATATCATACACACGCCTAAAACTGTATTGTATCTGGCACATCCTACACTCTATAAAGTGTTGCCCGGGTGTATGCTTGCAAGTCAAGGTCTCCGCTCTACACAACACTCAGGCAAACCATCAATCACTATATTCTAACTTTTGTGTTGAGTTTCTTTCAGAGGTGGTAGTCTACAAGCCCAGGCAAATCAGATACCCGGGCTGAAGATCTAACATGTGAAAAGACCAGGGTCTTTAAAGTGAGTCCGGCCTGTCTACTTAACTTCATGATTTGGATGTAATAGAAGGAGTCCTTTCTCTCCTTAATCCTTGCCTTCTTTGTGGCACTCCCAGTGGTACTCGATCAGTACTCCCCTCGCTGAAACACACTTTACTCCTGCTCTGTGGTTCCCCCAGTTACTTCCCTATGTGGCAACACCATACTGCTTCAGAGGGAATGCTCACACAGAGAGATGGAGGGGAGAGGAGTGAATAATGAGGGGGCGCGGACAGAGGGTGAAGATAAAGAGCAGAAATTAAAGAGGGGAAGGAGAGTCAGAATGCAGGAAGATGGGATTGATTGACAGGTCCAAAGGATGGGTTCCAATACCAAGAGCTTGGCTGGAAAACTTCATAGGTGCAAGTTGTGCTATGCTAACTGCAGCAGTGAAATGTTTCCCACCATTCAAATGTGTGTATTTACTTCTTCCTTCCTCGTGTGTTTCGCAGTGCAAGTGATGGCGCTCTGTGTCCATTATTGGCCCGACAGTGTGGTGCCCTTCAGGTGTTTCCTTTGCAAACCCAGAGGAATAATATTGGGAGTGAGCTGTGGCCGCTGAGTCCACAAACTACAGCCACCCACTAGCCAGGAAGAGAATGGCAGCTCCTAGCTGTGACTTATCACGGGGCCTGTACCAGTGGCCACAGAATTGCGGGAAGATTTCACCCCGCCCGCCATGGAAGTGGCCTAACCCTGTGCATTAATACTACTCTCATTCACATTCTGTTTGTAACATGGTGATCTGCCTTACATTTTATTCTGAGATTGGCTATATCCTTTGGTGATAGAGGAGAATGGATCAAATGTTTTTTTCTTGTGGGGTGGAAGTTCTGGAAACAAATGAATACATAAGTCTGTAATTCAGCCAATTACAAATGCTGCTCGTTTTTCTTAAGCAACTAGTTAATATTCCCCAGGATGCATATTAAACATATGACAAATGAATAATAATAATAAAAGAAGACATGACAGGTTTCTTGCTTTCTGCTAATGCTCTCTGAAGCTCATGCTTAGTATTGGCCTCTCCAGAGCATCCTTCATCCTCTGAAACCTACAAGCCTGAAATAAAAATCAGTGGCTCTGTCATATGCTCTAAGAGCTCCCCAAATGCAGCGCTTTCTCCCCTCAGCTGCTCAGTCTTACCCAGCGTGATGCTGTAGAACTGAAAGAGACCATTTGTATCATTGTTGCTACCACTGTTCTACAATTGCAACAAATCTTGTACAAAGTATGACACGGACGGTGTGTGACTATCATGTTTATATGCAGGTATCATCTCTGCATCTCAAGTTATGAATATTGGCCATGGACTTGTATCTTATACATGCGACTGTATTCCTGGGTAACATCCACACTGTAGTTTACATCCAGTCTAGCCAGCCCATTGTGAATGGACTAGTCAAGGTTGATGGCCCATTGAGGACACTGCACTCTAGCAATGGGCCATCAAAGAAATTCATCCCGCCCAGCAAACTTGTCTACAGAGCCTTTCCTGTGGATGCCTTAGAAAGTATATGGGTAATAGCTGCTCCTTGAGTCACTCGTGTGACCTTGGACTTCATCTTAAAGGCCAGTAACTTTCCACAAGCTCAGGCTGTGAGCTCTGTCTGAAACAGAAAATTTCCAGGCACATGGCAAAGGGTATAAAAGACCCCGTGGAATGACTCCATTTTTGTCTCTTTCCTGCTTTGATTCTCTGGGAGACTTACAGCTAAAATGAGCATATTATGGACTGAGGACCTTCCAATCTTTTGGAAGTTACCAGAGATGCTAGAAGCCAGCAGTTCATTCCATTACTGCTGCAAACCTGATCTAAGAACTTTGCAATAATGGAATGTATATGATCTATTAACCATTTTAACTCTCTTCTTTTTCTCTTATAAATAAACCTTTTGCTTTTAGTTACTATAGGATTGGTGGCAGCGTGATTATTGGGTAACATCTGACTTATACATTGACCTGGCTTAGTATCTGATCTCTTGAGATCAGAAGAGCCCTTTGCTTAATTAAATTGGTTTTTGGTAACCATTCCTCATAAAGTCTAGTGTCTGGGTTGTGAAATAAGGGCTGGGAAGCCTAAGGAGACTGCATTTTTGACTTCTTGTTAACCAACATGGTGAGACAGAAGCTTACTTTTGTTACTAGCTTGGTATATCGAATGGTAGAATAACCACCAGTTTGATGGGGAGTCTGCCCTGTTTCTCAGCAGTTTGGCCTGAATCTGGTATTCTGAGCTGTGAGCCACTGAGGCACAAGCGCACCCCATCAAAAACTTTTTTTCCCCTTTGAAAATCATTTTGAACCATGTAAAAGTGTTTACAAATTCTAACCAAACAGTGCCAACCCAGCTGCCTGCCTGCCTGCCGCAAGCTGCTGGGAAGTTGCAACCTTGAGCATATTCTGCACCTCACAGGAGGCACTTGACAACTCTGCAGTATAGGGCCCAATTTTGAGTCTTTTCCTGCCTCTGGCATCCCTTCTAGCCATTGCCTCCTTCCCCTGCTCCTACCTTCTTCCCTTTTTCAGTAAATTTCCATGGAAACAAACCTTGATTTTATCCATATATATATTAAATCCTCAATTGTCAAGGTTCCTCCCCCACTCTGAACTCTAGGGTACAGATGTGGGGACCTGCATGAAAAACCTCCTAAGCTTATCTTTACCAGCTTAGGTCAAAACTTCCCCAAGGTACAAAATATTCCACCCGTTGTCCTTGGATTGGCCGCTACCACCACCAAACTAATACTGGTTACTGGGAAAGAGCTGTTTGGACGCGTCTTTCCCCCCAAAATACTTCCCAAACCCTTGCACCCCACTTCCTGGACAAGGTTTGGTAAAAAGCCTCACCAATTTGCCTAGGTGACTACAGACCCAGACCCTTGGATCTTAAGAACAATGAACAATCCTCCCAACACTTGCACCCCCCCTTTCCTGGGAAATGTTGGATAAAAAGCCTCACCAATTTGCATAGGTGACCACAGACCCAAACCCTTGGATCTGAGAACAATAAAAAAGCATTCAGTTTCTTACAAGAAGACTTTTAATAAAAATAGAAGTAAATAGAAATAAAGAAATCCCCCCCTGTAAAATCAGGATGGTAGATATCTTACAGGGTAATTAGATTCAAAAACATAGAGAACCCCTCTAGGCAAAACCTTAAGTTACAAAAAAGATACACAGACAGAAATAGTTATTCTATTCAGCACAATTCTTTTCTCAGCCATTTAAAGAAATCATAATCTAACACATACCTAGCTAGATTACTTACTAAAAGTTCTAAGACTCCATTCCTGGTCTATCCCCGGCAGAAAACCAGCATATAGACAGACACACAGACCCTTTGTTTCTCTCCCTCCTCCCAGCTTTTGAAAGTATCTTGTCTCCCCATTGGTCATTTTGGTCAGGTGCCAGTGAGGTTACCTTTAGCTTCTTAACCCTTTACAGGTGAGAGGAGCTTTCCCCTGGCCAGGAGGGATTTCAAAGGGGTTTACCCTTCCCTTTATTTATGACATCAATAAACAGGATTTTAAAGACAATCAGTCTTTGAACATTTCACTTCTTCCCTCTTCTCCACCTTTTTCTTTTTCCTTCCTGGTCTTTTGAGATTAGCATCTCTCTCCAGCACCCACTAGATGGTGTACAGAAGGGATACACCAACTTTTATTGATCTGTATCTTTTCGGGAGAAGATGAGGCAGAATATACATCCATTGTGATATCAGCAGTAAGATAAAATGGTTTGGTGAGAGGAACTTCTGGCCGGGGTAAATATAGGCAGAACAATAGCTAAACACGCACACTGTAGAATTTGTCTTGACATTTGTCTGTCAAGTCTGGCATCCATTCCTAGCAAGGGTCAGTATTTGATGCTTCAGAGAAAGGTGAAGATACCTAGCTACTTTCCCATTGCTCTAGGTGGTGTTGGGGAAACTTATTCTGATGTGAGATCTTTACATAAATGTTTCTTAATACATAAGCAACCAATCTCCAAAATAGAAAAAAGGGAAGAGGAAGAATCAACCAAGAACCAATCCGCAGCCAAAGCCAAATATTTGCAGCAAATGAATCAGGCAATTCCTATCTTTTCATGTGCTGTAATATATATACTGCTTACTGTATTTTTCACTCCATGCATCTGATGAAGTGGGTTTTAGCCCATGAAAGCTTATACCCAAATTAATTTGTTAGTCTCTAAGGTGCCACAAGGACTCCTTGTTGTTTTTGCTGATACAGACTAACACAGCTACCACTCTGAAACCTATTATATCCTTATCCATCCAGGCTGGTCCTGTGGTTACAGCACTTCCCTAAGACTTGGTAGACCCAGATTCAATTCCTTGCCCTGCTACAGATTTCCTTTGTGACTGTGGATGAGTCACTTAGTCTCTCTGTGCCTTGGTTCCCCAGCTGTAAAATGAGGGTAATCGTATTTCTCTGTGTCACATGGAGTATTGTGAGGATGTTTAGATTCCACAATAAGAGGATCCATATAATTACCTTAGATGGAAAGGAGTGAACACCTCAGAGATAGAAAGCATTTATCATTTATCAAAAAAATAATCCATGAGAAAGAGTTTGCTGGGCATAGGAGCCAGAGGTTGGACAGTAGGCATTTTAAGAAAAAAAAATACAAGCAGGATTGTGGACTGCATAGCAATAGCAGGGCTTCAGCTAATGGTATCGTATATGTTATGGAGCAACACTCGTTGCTCCATAGTTAGAATTGCAGCAGAGTTTCTGTGTCAGGGCAAATTTTGCATTACCTCTCCAATCCATAAGAGATGGCAGAGCTGCCTGAAATTTGGTAAGCCAGCTCAGGCGTAAGGGTAGTTTCATGCGCAAAATATGAAATAATTTGACAAGGGGTTCCCAAGTTACGGTATCTTTGACTGGATTTTGTTTTTTGAGCAGCTGCTTTTACAGTAGCAAATGTTGAACATGTTCTTGCACATCTGTTAAGCATCTCTGTAAGAAAATCAGTTAAATAAAAAAATGATTCAGCAAAACTTTTATAAGTCTAGCTAACAAGACTTTTGCATTAAAAAAAAAGATATGGGCTGGTGCACCTCAAGTGATTTGTTGCCTTTTAATAATGGATATAAATCTTCATAATAAATGTATGATATGAGCCTGTTCCATTTTTAAGTTTCTTTGCTGTTATAAAAATGTTTTGTGTAGTTACAGTTTTCACTATAGAATCAACCAGCAAAGTGAAACCAGAGGCAAAAGAAATATCCTGTACTTAGAGATAAAATGAGGGTTGAGGGGGGAGGGAATCAAGTGGGTGCTTGTTAAAGCCACCTACTTGTGTTCATTTATTTTAACCACCCAATTTAATTCTTAACACATTCCTCATGAGCAGGATTGTTAAAAGGCCGGGCAGTATTAACTACTACTTACTTTACATTTACAAGACTCATGTACCTCATCCTTTGCCCATGTAAAATATTCCACCGATCAGGAGAAAGTTGTATTTAACATGAAGCCTTGTTGTTAAGCTTCTCAAACACCAGCTTTCATGCTTCCTCTTTAAACTAGAATGTATATACCAGAGAAGTAATGAGACATATTAGGACAAGCACTTTTGCCCTACTGATGGTAAAATCTTTCATCATCTTGTCTTTATAGCTTGTCTCTTTGTTTTCTTGTTGGGTAAAAAGACCAGGAAGGCCAATTGGGTTGTGTTCTTCATCCTCTCTCCTGAACTCTCCTCCCTGATTCCTAGCATGCTTTTTCCGCTCACTCCATCTCAAGCTTGTAGGGGATCCCTTGTGCGGCGCCAGAAAGGGAAGCAAGAGCATACAGTTTTGAGGGGGCAGAAATCAGATATTGTTTGGGGGCAATGGTGAATTTCTCCCCTGTGATCATGACCAGTTAAGGCCTTTGATTTAATATTTTCTGGGGGGTTTTGGCCCATATCCCTAAAAAATGGATGGATTTCCATGACCCCACCTCCACCGCTAAGATCCCCATGGATACTTCAGCAGGGCTTGAGGCAGCAGAGGGTGGACCTAACCCTTCGGACAAAGTCGTGGACAAGGAGTTTGAGTTGGAGGATGATGTGAAACACTTGGCAGAGTCATCTGGTGGTGCGGCGCATCAGGGTCTCTTTTCCAATAAGACACTGGCGGTGTCCAGCAGTCCATCTCCGAAGTGCATGATTTCAGATCTGAACGCAAACTTTCCCCAGGTGTTCGGTTTGGGTCTCTCTCGAATGATGTTATTCTACTATCATCACTAATCCTTAGGCCCCTATACTCAGCCACATGTGTGAGACAAAGGGCTGCCCCGAGGAGCTTACAGAGAGAACCTGGGTGCTGCTGTTGTAGGAAATGTTGGGTAATGAGCCCAGTATAAATGTAAAGGGACTGTTCCCCCTTACTAACATTCACTGGGGGTGTTTTAGTTGCTAGCTCCCAGTACTAAAAAGGGGAAGGGTCGATGGGGAATCAGGACCCTGAGACTGACAGCCCCCAGGAACAATGGGGAGAGGCCAATTCTCCAGGTCAGCCTGAATGACAGGGTGAGCAGGCTAATCAGGAGGCCAGGGAGGTCCCGTCCTCCCTGTGAGCTGGATTTGCCTGGGTCAGACAGAGTGGGGCTGAGCTAAGGAGAAAGCAGGGGCCCAAGCTAAGCTGGGGAGCAGAGCTGTGCCAGATCCATAGGGACTAGAAAAGCAGCCCAGAGAGAGCACACCCTGTCCTGGGAGCAGAGCCATGCCAGATCCAGAGGGACCAGAAAAGCAGCCCAGGAAGCAGGTCAGTGCTGGGAGCAGAGTCACAGAAGCAGCCTGCAGAGCAGACCTGTCCTGGGAGCAGAGCTGCAGCAACCAGAGCCAGAGGGGCCAAAGGAGCAGCCCAGGGAGCTGGAGGCAGAGCAGCAGCAGTGCAGAGACAGAGTGGTGGAGCTGGGGCTGGAGCAGTCCAGAGCTGGGTGCGGAGAGCAGCTGGGGAGACCGAGGGGGACCCTGGGCAGCGGGCCCAGCACACGGAGATGCCTCAGCCAAGAGGCTCCGCAGGCCAGGCTTGGATCGTAACCCCGACAGGGCGGGGGCGACACTGGGAAGAAGGGTCCTACCACTTAGAGCCTGAGAGCGTGTGGCCACCACCAGAGCAAGTGTCCAACCCACAGCATCCCTGCAGCACAGCCAGGGCCGGAGAAGGAGGCCTGGGACTTACAAGGAGCAGACTGTGAACTGCCCGGACATTCCAGAAACACTGTTTGTGATGTTCCCTGCCACAGAGCGGGGTGATGTGTTTCCTTTAACCTTTCCCATTTTTCCTTATTCTTCTTCAAATTAATTGTTGATTAAATAACTTTGCTTTAACTTGTATGTAATGGTCAGTGGGTCAGAGAAGTGCCCAGTGCAGAGAGAGTACCCCGGAGTGGGGACACCCTAGCCCCTGTCCTAGGTGACCACAGCAGGGTTGGGGGTCGAGCCCCCCAGGAATCCTGGGCCCAGCCTTGTTGGGGTTACGAGGACTCTGCCAGGCAGGAGAGTGGAAGGGGAGTCCTCAAGGGCAGGGAGGCCACTGGGTAAAGGAAGTGGGAGCGAGGACTCAGATCCTTTCGCTGGCCCACTTCACCGGGGTAGTGCAGAAGCCAGGAAAGTTCCCCACAATAGCGGGACGATTCCCCCGCTTACGGAGGGCTCGATCACAGGATGGATACAGCTTGACAGAGGCTGTCACGTTGCTCTTGGGGCTAAGGCACAGGACCTAGCGGGCCTCACGCCCTCTTGCCTCAGTCGGGCCCCAGCAGCGCCGCTGACCTCCCCGAGCCTCAGTTTCCCTATTGGTAAAATGGGGACAGGGAGGTTTCCAGGTGCTGTATTAGGCGGGGTGCTGTGGCAGCGCTCGGGGGAGCTACGCACCGCGCCGGGGGGCTGCAGCCACGGCCGGGGCTGGGGAGCGCAGACCGCCCAGCGCAGCCCCGCCCGCAGCCGCTCCCCTGTGGGGGGGCGTGGCCCGAGCAGCCCTTGGAACGTCCCCCCCCCCCCCCAGTGGGCGGTGCGAGCCTGAGAACCAGCCCCCGACGGGTCACATGATACACGCGCGGGGTGGGGGTCAGCTGACCGGAAGTAGAGCGAGCGGAGGAAGGCGGCGGCTCGCTGCGATGGAGCGCTACGATAAAGCGGCGCCCCCGGAGCTCGGGCAGTGAGTACGGAGCGGGGGGAGGGGAAGCCCCCGGTCTGGGCGAGTCTCGGGCCGGGGAGCTGCAGGCCCGGGCCGGGCTCGCCTCTGGCCCAGCGGCTGCCGGCGGCGTTGGAGCCCCCTGCCCTGGGTCCCGGGGTGTCCCCGGGCCTGCCCGGCCCCGCTGGGGTCGCCTGACCGCGCCCGGCCCATGCCCAGGCTGGGGCGCTGGAAGGGAGGGAGGAGAAACCTGGAGCTCCGAGTTGCTGCGTGACCCGGGGCAGGGGCGGGAGTTGAGTACGAGGCACCAGGTGCTTCCCTTGGGGCAGGGGTCGCAGCGTTGCGCGGAAAGCTGGGGCGTGTGAAGGGTGAGTGCTGGGAAGGTCCGACTGTCCCGCCCTTCCACGGGGCGCGCAGCGAGGGGCCTGACCGCATTCCAGCCCAGAGAGCCCGGCTGTGACCCACTGCACGCAGGTGGGTCCGGGGCCTGCTGTTTGACCTGGGGCAGGCTGCTTGAGCTCTTCTCGAGGCTTCTGTACACTACAATATTTGGCTACTTTCAATATACTGGGGTAGTTAAAGCAGGGAGAATCCCCCTTGTTTGGAGGCATTTATACTAATTTAGCTTATCAAATCGGAATAAGCTCTACTAGTGTAAGGCACCTTTATAACCAGTATAATTGCATCTACGCTAGGGCTTTTACTGGTATAATTATGTTGGCAAATTAATGGAAACTTAAAAAAATAGTGTTGAATGGCAGTGATATTGGGATAATAAAAGAGAACTTGAGTTCTAGACAATTAAGGGTTGAAAGTTGTTCTTAGGTACTATACCTGCCTATAAATCTCCTTGTCAATTTTATGGTCCTAATCATATTTTTCAGTCTTACAAACTTTTTTTCTCATCTCTACTTGTGGGAGAGACCCCCCTACTATAAAAGGGGGGAATGATACATAGTCAGCAACATGAACTGATTTGTCTAATGCTTCAAGTAAAAAAGCATTGATAAGAAAGATTTTTTTTCTTGATAAAGGTCCCTTTGATGCTTTAGCAGGCATTATTTTTTTAAAATATACTAAAATAACTTTATTTCTTGTTATAACTGTTTAATGGCAGAATTTGACCCTGAAATAATTCTGAACAAAAAGATGCTCAAATACCAGCTTTGAGTACAAAGCTTAATTTCTGGTATCTTCCAAACAGCAAATGCAAAGAAAGTCCTTTAAAACCAACAATTTGTATTTCTCCCCTTGAAGGAAATCTGATGCACTATGTTAGATGTGTTATGTGACTTTCTGTATTGTTACAGCTGTTCTTGTTCATTTCAGAAATGAGGGCTCCTTAACATCAACTCTAAGAACGCTTCTGTTCTTCACAGCTCTGATGATCTTATTACCTATTGGGCTGTACTTCTCTTCAAAGGCTTATGTATTTGAAGGTAATTCTGTTCCTGCTAAACAGAACGTTTTTAAGAGACAAAGCCTCAGACCTAAAATCCTAGTTTTTTGTCCTTTCTTTCTCTAGTACCCTTTCTTTTCACAAACTGAATGCATTCGATTAGATAGAGAACCCTCTTGGAATATGGGGCTGGAAATGTTAAAGGTTGTGATATTCAAAGTTTTGGGTGCAAACGAGAACAAATTTATTTCAGTGGCTTATGCAGAGTGTAAAATCTGAGTTTCAGCTGTGTAGAGAATACTTGAAAGGCTGCAGTGGTGATGCGCGTGGAAATTGTTCTGTGAAGCTTTTCTTGTAACAGCATAAGCCATCAGGTGACATTCAGAATGGTATAATTCTGTCCTTCTCTAGCTCCATGTCTTTGATTTTTTTTTAAAAAAAATCGCTGAGTATGTTTATAAATATAAACATTTCATTCAAACCCTAAGAGCTTCAGATTTTGAATTCTGTTGCTTGAAGAATTTCATTCTCTCCACCTTCCTGAAGGTTGAGGATGAAACTTGCTGTGGAGCCAGGGCTCCGTTAAATTGCTGACAACCAACCAAAGCCTGTCTCTGATTCTGCAACAGGAAAAATGAACAAACCAGCAGAACTTTCTGATGCTGCATAACTGTCTTTCTGAAGACACAAATAGAACTTCCCTCTTAAGACAAGAGCAGCTGAGGAATATGTGACTGTTTAAAGGCCTCCCAAAAAACACATTGTTTCCTTCAATCATTGTGGTTGTGAATAGAAATGGAATAAAAGATTCAGCAAAAACTGTTTAGTTTCCTATTTTCTTGATATGTTGACTTTTCTGAAGACATTCTTTTCAGTTACAACAAGCTCTACCAACAATGACACTTTGTATTAGGCTGGAAAGAATGATGTATTGGAAATAGCTCTGATATCTTAAATCTTGTATTATATGGGAACCATTCATATAGTTTCCCACTTATCTAATACACACAGTACTTCTGATGAGGAAGCATGGTTTGTCTAGTGGCCTGAGCATGGAAGTCAGGAATCCTAAGGTCTAATCATGGCTGTACCATTGACTCTGTCTGACCATAGGCAAATATCTTAATCTCTGCTCCTCAGTTTTCCCCATCGATAAAAAGAAAACAATACTCAGTTGACAGGGATGTTGAGGTCTGATGTTGGAGGATGGCAGAAGAATATGTGTAGAACATTTAAAGATCTAAAATCCTGTATTTCCAAAAGTTAACTGGTACCTCAAAGGAAACAGGTAAAAAGCAGTTTCGTTATCTTGCATCCCAATTGTAACATACTAGCCAAGTCTCATTAATAACTGTAAATTCTGACCTATTGCTCTTTGTCTATCCTACCCTTGATATAATAATGTAATAAATTGAGCCTCTTTAAACAATTGCAAGTTATTGTTCTGCCTTAATAGAAACACTCAGAATTCCTTTAAATTAGTGTGCTCTTTTTGTCTGTCTTCTCAGGTACCTTGGGAATGTCCAACAGAGACAGCTATTTTTATGCTGCCATCGTCGCTGTAGTTACTGTTCATGTGGTACTTGCTCTCTTTGTCTATGTAGCTTGGAACGAAGGGTCTCGCCAGTGGCGTGAAGGCAAGCAGGACTAAAGCAAGCATCACCATCTGATATCCACAGACTGGAGACTGGATATTTGTGGATGGAGTGAAAAACATTCTTGTGCAAAATAGAAGTTAATGCCTCTGGGCTCTGAATGCCTGTGTGTGAATAGTCCAAGATTCGTGCTCATCTCCGCTGAATACTAGTAATGTGTCGAAGGGTGACCATTTATAATTTAAATCAACCTCAGCTTGGCAAACTTGGAGAAGCCTTTACCTGAAATTGGAGTGGAGTGACTAGAAGGAATGTGTATTTTGTATGTGTGCAACAAATTTTGGGGTTTTTTTACCGTTCTGACCTGCTAACAAGACACAGAGAAATTGAGACACACATCGGTCAGTTATGAAGCGAAATTATGTATTGCTAATGTTAAGTTACCGGTTTAAAAGGCTGAGTAACGTTCTAGTAGGACTAAAACAGAGTAGATTTGGTTCCCACTTGCTCTGGGTGGATGCTCAGTTTTAGAAACATGGAATCAAATTGAGCAGCGCTTTGTGCTCCTCAGCCATAGTCGCATGAGTGTACAGTTTACATTTTTAGTGGAAGAATAGGAAGAGAATGTTTCATACATAATCCTAAAAGGCAGCTCTTGAGAGCTAAAGATCTTGCATATTGGAGAGTGGCTTGTTAATGTTTTATGGGAACTGTGAGCTATCAGAACAGAATAGAGGATGCACTCTTAAAATTTCACTATCAGACATATCTCAAGCTCCCTGAAAATCATTAGCTTGTATCAAAACATTTTCTGACTCTTACCATTCATTTCCAGGAAAAGTTATTTCATAAACTACAAGGAACCATGTAATATGGTGTCTTACTGCTTCAGTAAGCTATGGCAAATGCGTTTGAGGGATTCTGCTGCAGCTGGGGTGGTGTACTTAAGGCTTAAGACCAAATAGATGAAAGTAACCTCCCAAGAAATGCAATAAATCTCCTACAAAGGCATGTTTGGGAGTAATGTCATAGCAGCTTAGCAAGGTGGTCAGAAAATTCAGTTGGTGTCTTCTATTTCATAGTGAACAATTTTTAGTTTTGTCATTTTTAAATTTTGGCTTGTTGCATTTTTTTTTTAACTGACTTTTCTCCCCACTGACATTTTCAATATCTCTAGAAGATTTCGGTAATCCTGACCTGCTCATCCTTCCACTCTTACTACCTTGAAGCTTTGTTGCAAAGGAGAACTGCCTATTGTTTTCTTTCCAATGACCATACTAAATTGCAGTTGCTCCTAAACAAGTCTCGCTTTCAGCCACCTCCCACTGCTACTTGAATGTGTTGGATATTTCTTATGGTGCAATCGTGGACAAAATACATTGAAGAGTGTGTTTGGGAGATGTGCTGGAGGAACAAGTGAGATTTAAGGGGAGAAAGCCAGCTAAAGCAATACTCTTAAAACTTTTGTCCACTATTAAATAAAACATAATGGTGACCATGTTTTGTCATCGCTACCTCTTCCATGACAGATATCCACTTTGCTTATTTTGTTGAATCATGAAAGAAATGAATTTGTTCTAATTTTCTATCCTCTTGGAAGGAAAGGGGCTTTACCTAAAGTCACATCAGGATGAAATATGTCTAACAGATCATTATCCTGAGTTTCATTCTGCTTTTGTATTAACTATATTTTCTGTGTGGAGCAGCATTTTTCCTAAGATTACGGTAATGCATAGCCTTTCCTATACTTTTTTTTTAAAGGCGCTTTGTGACTTTGCTTTTCCTGTTTCACTTGTATCATGTTCCTACAGTTTCAAAGGGATTATTGGTTGATGTGGGAATTGGATAGTTCGTACCCACACTTGTGGTCTGCAGACCACGAATATGGTAGATCAACTATTTGGGCTTATGTGCACAATAGATACAGAAGTATATTAAGATAGACTGTGACCCACCCACCCCTATGTACTAATGTTCAGGAGCAAGCCCTAAAAGTGAAGCATACTGCATGTTAGCTTCAGGTTAGCCACAAATCAATTTTTAAATCTCATGTCTGAAACATTAACTTTTCCAGTCTGCAAGTCCAGTGTTGCTGGCACACTAGAGAAGGATACTGTAGTTATTTGAAATGCAGATTTATTTTGTAAGATGCCATTCTGAGAGATCCCCATTCCCCACTACATGTACCCCCATGTTATATAAGAGCCCTTTAATAAAGAATTATCATTCACTGAGTTCCAGTACCGAGGCTTAGTAAATGTGAATACTTTAGCTGAATTATTTCTCAATCATCGTCCTGCTAATGCTGCTCATGTAAGATGATTTATAATGAACAGATTAGGTACAGCAACACACAGAATTAACTTTACTCCATTTATAACAGTCTGAAAACGAGGGCTCTGCTGTGCTTCATTGATTCTGTGTACAATGTTATATCCAGGTGTTTGTACTGTCAGGGGTCACTAGACCCTAAAATTACATTTCCGTGGAATTATAATTGCTTACCATACTTGGCTAGTCACAAAAAAGTAGAGGTGCTGAAAAGTTCCAGAGGACCATAGCTTAAATATGCTTCAGCTATTCATAGTGAAAATGTGAGGAGTCCGTTGATAAGACTTTTACTTCCTCATAAGCAGAACATCTTGGTTTTTAAAAGGCCTCCTTAAGGAAAGTAAGACCAGAGTTTTGAGTATGGGGACAGTGGAAACAACTGAGCAGAGCAAAGCAAAGAAGCTGAACACCCCATCTAGGCACGTGACACTGAAAAGAGCAATATTGAAAGAAGGAAAATAAGAGGTGTAGAACCTGAGAAGTTACAGAAGAGCTTAAAGAATATAGCCCACATCCATAGTGGGGCTCAAACAGACTTAATGAGCGCTGTGTTAAACTCACTGTAAGAATTGACCTGTTTAATGTGTACAAGGCCAAAAGCATGTTAAAAATGTATAGGCTGCTGCTTTCAAATAGGATCCTCGCCCAACTTGCCCCATTCTGCTTTGCATGGCCAGACTTTTAGAAATCCTTTTAGCTGTTTATATTTCACTGGTGGTTAGGAACCTGGGATCACACTCCGCTAGGCATTGTACAAATGCAGAACAAAACAATGGTCTGTGTCCCGAACAGCTTACAGTCTTAGGATGCTATGCCTCGCTTTGGTTTTAAAGATCAGTGCACTCGGAACAAACGGAGACGCAGCAATACACCAATAAGAGCTTATTCTGTGGATGGATACTAGTTTGTGCATTGTGTGTACAAGAATTATGCTAACCAGCTAAAAGAAAAGGAGTACTTGTGGCACCTTAGAGACTAACCACAAGTACTCCTTTTCTTTTTGCGAATACAGACTAACACGGCTGTTCCTCTGAAAGCTAACCAGCTAGGTACCTGGACCTGTTTGGCTACAACAGGGTTCAAAAAAGAACTAGCTAAGTTCATGGCAGGCAGGTCCGTCAATGACTGTTAGTCAGGATGGACAGGGATGGTGTCCCTCACCTCTGTTTGCTAGAAGCTGGGAATTGGTGACGGGATGGATCACTTGATTACCTGTTCTGTTCATTTCCTCTGAAGCAACTGGTATTGGCCAGTGTTGGAAGACCAAATACCAGGCTAGATGGACTTTTGGTCTGACCCAGTAAGGCCATTCTTATGTTCTTAGAAAATATATACTGCACTAGATACCCTACTGGGAGCCTTCTTGTGCTTCAGCAACATGAAGTTATATTTTAAATCATGGTAGGCTGAGTTTGTATTACAGAGTCCATGCTCATGTCAGAGTAACATCCAAGCTAATTTGTTATCGTGACACAAATTGTCAGTGTATAATAGCCATAGACCCTTTTCTTGTTTAAATAATGCTCTGTAGGCTTTGAAATTATCCTGAATTGTAGGATTAGCGCTTTCCCTTTCCTTGTTTCCTGATTATTTGTGTAAAACTAAATCGTGCAACAAGGGAATATTTTTAATTGGCATTTAGAAGTTTGCCTTAATTTTTTATATTAATGGTTTTCAGTACTTAAACAGGGGTTTGAACAATTGCTGATGAACAACACAATTTACAGTTTTACACAGGACGGTCAAACTAGAGCTGATTAGATAGCATGAATAGATATTTAAGACCAGTTGTTTCTCTAAATTTTCAAAATATTCCCCAGGTCTCTAGCTATGTGGCTCATTGAGACAGTTGGGAATTATGGAGTCAAAAACCCAGGAACTTTCCAAAATTATTCTGTAGTATTACTTGGATAAGTCGACTTTCCTTTCTTTTGTGTGTCCTGCACAGGCTAAATTTTCATCTGATCCTTCCTTTTTAAAATGACTGCAGAGGTGTATGAGGGACACTCAGAAATTGGAATAAGCAAGCTTAATTGGGGTTCAGAACACTTCATTTAGTTTAGACCGAGAATTGCTAAAAGAGTGTCGAGACATCTACGCAGGAAGATGTCAATATTTGGGTTTATCAGTTGTCATTGTTCTTAGACTTGTTCTTTCCCTCTTGTCTGTCATCCCCTAACGCTGGCTGATGTAAATAAGCTGTTAATATGTGGGCAGCACCGTCTGTGTATGCTGAAGTTGGGGGGAAAAAAGTGTAAAATGTTTGTGGGGTGGGTAACTTTCATTTTACTTGAAACTGCTAAAAACCACTTAAATGGACATAATACAAGCTTGTATGCAGTGCTATAGCAGTGTTGGTCTCAGGATAGTAGATATACAAGATGGTGAGGTAATATTTGAAGAACTGAAAGCTTGTCTATCTCACCAACACAAGTTGGTCCAGTAAAAGATATTACCCCATCCACATAGTACAAGATTGTTAGTAAACAGTCTCCAGTTTGTCATACTGCACTAGCAGAGTGACTGACTGGATGGCAGGTTTTTCTGTCTGAAATTCGGTGGGGGGGGTGTGCGTGCGCTCCATTAGCTAGAAAATGGAGGGGAAAATTATATACTTCTCACTTGGTGAACTGCTGGACAGTAAGTGTTTGGGGTTATTGGCATTTTGCTAGCTTTTACCTTGACTAGCTTGGCAGCTGTTTGCAAATAAATTAATCTTGTTATATTTGGTTTGAGGTAGAGTACTTTCAGAGCCTTCCCAAAGGGATGTAGCTGACTCAAGTAGTTTTGTCCAAAGACAGGCAAGGTGTATGTCACAAAGGGTCTTTTCTGACGGCCTTCAATGTGGACACGTGCAGTTTAGTTCAGGGAGGCTGCTTCCTGTATAGGGAGCCCTATGGAAAAAGGCCCAAGGGTGATTGGGGGAAAAACTGACAAGTGGGTGCATGAATGAGAACTGGAATATACCTCTTTTACTGCTCTGTACATGTTGTCCTAAGCTCTTTCTGGACAGCATTTTATGGCATATATTCAATTTTTGAGGATCAGGCAAGGTACCAATGCCATTGATCTCGTATTACATGTGAGTCGTGCACAAAGCAGCAAACCGGCTCTGATTTTATATTTTTAAAACTTTCAGTGTAAATCTGGAAGCAAAAAAGTTCACAGCTTTACATCTTTGTGCATGATTTCACCAGGCATTTGTACGCTCTAGCATTGGATGCATGGGGCACATAGAAACAAGCAGGGTAGCTTTTCCTATAAAATCCCCAGTGATGCATCTCTAAGGGGTGGGTCAAGCCTCTGAACTATATATCTTAAAATCCCACAGAGCAATTGGCACTCTGTTTAGCCCTCGTTATCTCTGATCTAGTACTTGTTTACATACATAAAATCAGTATTTTCAGTGTTAGGTTACTGAATGCATCTTCGCCTATATTGACACTTCAAGAGCCAGCATTAGTGAAGGCCAAATTAGACTTGAATGGTGCATACAAAAAGGAAATATTGCCAAGTGCTGGGGTCCAAATCCAGTCCTGTGTCGGTCAGTAAAGACTTTTCTGTACTAATGCCATGAATTTCTGGTGGTGTGTTCTGCTGTTCAAGGGGAAAGCTCTGAGAGAATTGAAGCAGGAGAAATGGACTATGGTGGTCCTATATGTAGCAGAACTGAGGTTGGGGACAAAGATGAACCTTTAGAGATTTGGTCCTTCCTGTTCCCTTAGAATGATGTCTGGTTGGGATAGAGGAGGTAGGAGGGATGTTTCCAGGAGCATCAGTCGCCGCCTCCTAGTGGGGGTAGAGAAATGCAGTGGCCTTCCATTTCTGGAGGGCAGGGCGGTTGATTGGGATGCTTTTTGATGGGAGGGTGTCCCAGTTTGGGTCTGAGCGTGAAAGGTGGGGGAAAGAATGCTGCCTTACCTGCAAGCTAAACCCACGCCTCTCATACCTCAAATTGAAGTAGAGATGCACATAACAAGAAACACCGATAACACTTTCTGAGACTTACCTAGAAGCGGTTTGATATTTCACATATCTTGGCAGCATTGTAAGTACAACAGATGGAACAGACGAAGACGCTGAAGCCAGAATAGTGATAGCCAGATATGCCTTTGTAACTCTAAAGCCAATTGGGAGAAACAGAAATCTTGCCCTCCAGACTAAACTTAGAATGTTTAGCACTATTGTAACGTTGGTCTTACTCTGTGGTGCTGAAACTCGGAGACTTATTAAAACCTTACTATCTAAACTCCAAGTTTTCATGAACAGCTGCCTTTGACAAATCCTGACTGTCAGATGTCCAAAAAAAAAAAATCACAATTGAATTCTGGACGAGGACAAAATAGAAACTGATAGGTCAGGAAATAATGGAATGAAAATGGAGGTGGGGTAGGACATACATGGAAGGAGGACCTGGAGCACCTAAGACAAGTATTGGACTAAAAGCCCCTCGACAAGAGGTGATGAGGTAGACCAAGGATAACATGGAAACACACAATCGAAGCAGGACTGAAGCTAAAACTGCAGCGGGAGACCAGCAAAGATGGAAGGCAGTGGTGAAGGCCATATATTCTGCATGGAAGAGAGAGGTACTTCAGCTCAATTCCTGCTCCACTGATTCTCTTCCTGTTTGAGACTGAGGCCCTTAGCAGAAGCAATTGTCTGTTTATAAATTTTGGTGCTGGGACTGAAGCTCTCTTTCACAAGAGAACAGACACAGTGTATGTGGTGGCAAAACGCACTGCCCTACCAAAGTGCATCAACCCTGAATTGAAGGGGAGGAGAGCTGTATACCTGATCAATCAATATGTGATCCCTGTCCCCTCTCTGCTCAGACTACCAGCAAAGATGCCAGTTGTGGAAATTCCACCATGTGGACACCTCATATTGAATTATGTGGCCACTGAACCACCATGAGGTGGTAATGACTTTTGGTCATTTTTGCTCTGAGCTAGAATCAAGGAGATGTAATGCTGTTTCCAAGCTATACTGTGATCTTCTACAGTGTAGTCTAATATAATTGATTTCTTGTCTATTTTGAGTGGGAGCCTGAAACCGAATGGAGCAACTCTCTAAAAGGTGTAACTTTACAACAATAAAAAGGTAACTGGTTAAGTGCTATTTTCATTCTGTGACTCACCTGTACTTCTGACAGAAGACAACGCATCAGAATTGTGACCTTTATCTCGATAATGTGCCCGCAAAACAATAATGAAAACAGTGACTAAGCAAGGGAACAAATTCTCCTTGAAAATTAACAGTGGGTTGTCTTAAACTTTGTGTAACCCCCTTCAAGCTCTGTTGTACTTCTTATTCGTTGCTGGAATAAATACTATTTTTGTCAAGTACCATTGGCCTACTGGATTACCAATGTAATAAACAGTTTTGATCTTGTTTTCTTGAGATTCAAGCTTGTGCCTGAAGTTTGTCTCCTGTAGATACTATGCGTTTATTCATTTGTTCAACTAATGCCTACCATTGTGTTACTGTAATAACCTTGCTTTTAAAAAGTACATCTTAGCTGACTTTCCAGGCAGATACTGTGACAAAGTGCTGATTTGATTACTCTTTACCTGAATTATGGTAATGCTCAGAGTCCCAATTGAAATCAGTGTCTCCATTGTGCTTAGAGCTGTGCAGACATCCAAGATGACTACCCCTAAGAACTTACAATCTAAGATCCCAAAATGACAAACATGTACACCAGTGGTCCCTAAACTTTTCAGAATTGTGCTCCCCCTTCCTCACACTCACTCACTCGCTCCTGTCTGCTCCGGGGCTGGGCGCAAGGCTGGGGCCAGGAGCGGCGCACCGGTCAGGTGCCGGGAGTGTGGGAGCAGAGCTGAGTGGTGCTGCTTTTCCCTCCTTCCCCCATTTAGGTTGGCCTGGGCCCCAGCCAAGCCCCCCTCAATGGTCCTCTGTACCCCCCCCCCAGTGGGGCAAGCCCCATAGTTTGGGGACCTCTTGTGTACGTGTTTCACTGTGAACCCAGGAGTAGCCTTTAAATGTTTTCAGGGTCTAAGACATGGTGCATCAAGAAGCTCTAACAAATGCTAGGAAGGAAGGCAGAAGTAACTGATGATCACTAATCAAAGTTGATATTCTTGTCCCTTTTTAACCCATATGGCTAGTCAAAGTTCAAGGCACTGGGGATGTTCCAGCTAGGAATGGAAATTGATGGAGTCTAGTATGTTCGATGCACTCTTGTTCATTTACAAGGAATATACAAAGTCCTGTTTCCTGGAGAAACCAAAAACAAAAGAAGCAGTTTCTTAGATAATAGCCCCAAACCTCTGTAACCAATGAGCCCAGAATCTCTTTTTCCAGGGTCACATTGTGCTCATCAGCTACTACTTGGCTTTCTTGCTTTTTATCTCTGCTTCTCTGTTCTTGTCTGATCTCAGTTTCTATGTTCTGCTTCCCTTACCCCACGTTTACTTAGCAAAAGTCCTCCACACACTCAGTCCAAGCTCCTGGGCAGGTTCACAGCCCTCTTATGTTATAGGTTGGGGGGGAGAGGGTTCTGATTAACTCATCCTGACAATTATGCAAATTGTCCTAGAAGTACGAATTGAATGCAAGTAGATGATACCACAATTTTCTCCAATTTCCTCTGCCATTTTCTCTAGAAAAAGGTTAAAATGAGAACTAGTGGTTGGCATAATGTTCCAAATGTTGGCCATGTAACCAGTCTTTTTTTTTAAATTTAGGTTAAATCTCTAAATTGGATTCCCATGAGGAATTTTACTCTGTGGATTTCATACTTCTAAGAATGCTTAATAGGATATTTCCATGACGGTGTTTAATACATATTGGTATAAAGAAGAACATGGAAATGAATCCAGTATCTAGGAAAACTTTTAAAGTGATATATTTATTACTTCATAGCTTATGCCTTTGCAAAATTAATGAAGACGGGGCCTACTTGTTTTCAGCTTAAAATGAAACAGTAAGAGCATATGTTTTTCACTGGTAGCTTCCATGTTAACTTTTATAATTGCTAACAGATAAACCAGTTCCTTTATAATTAACAACTATATGTATGCTGTTCAAAATTTAATTTAAGAAATCAGTCACTGTTTACATAAATTCACCGAGTGCATATGTGGCTTCGATGGAAAGCAGTGTTACATTTCTGTTAGCAATGTGTCTGTTTTATCCTGTTGCTATATTAGATTTATGCTTCTGTCATCGATGAAGTACAATTGCTATGCTTGAAAATCTGCTTCTGTGCAGCTGAATATATCAAATCCTACAATGGCAGTTAGAAGGTTGCATTTTCCAGAGCATAATAATGAAGCACACATGTCTCAGTCATGACATTAAAGCAAGCAACAGAAAGTTGCCCATTTGCATTTTTAACAATCCCCCTCCCCTCTTCCTCCCCCAGCTCCACCTTCAAAAGTGATTGTCAAGTACTTTACAAAAAGAAAAGGAGTACGTGTGGCACCTTAGAGACTAACCAATTTATTTGAGCATAAGCTTTCGTGAGCTACAGCTCACTTCATTGGATGCATAAACGTGGAAAATGCAATGAGGATGTTTTTATACACACAGACCATGGAAAAAATGGGTGTTTATCACTTCAAAAGGTTTTCTCCCTCCCACACCACTCTCCTGCTGGTAATAGCTTATCTAAAGTGATCACTCTTCTTACAATGTGTATGATGATCAAGGTGGGCCATTTCCAGCACAAATCCAGGGTTTAACAAGAATGTCTGAGGAACCAGGGGAAGGGGGTAGGAAAAAACAAGGGGAAATAGGTTACCTTGCATAATGACTTAGCCACTCCCAGTCTCTATTTAAGCCTAAGTTAATTGTATTCAATTTGCAAATGAATTCCAATTCAGCAGTCTCTTGCTGGACTCTGGTTTTGAAGTTTTTCTGTTGTAATATCGCAACTTTCATGTCTGTAATCGCGTGACCAGAGAGATTGAAGTGTTCTCTGACTGGTTTATGAATGTTATAATTCTTGACATCTGATTTGTGTCCATTTATTCTTTTACGTAGAGACTGTCCAGTTTGACCAATGTACATGGCAGAGGGGCATTGCTGGCACATGATGGCATATCTCACATTGGTGGATGTGCAGGTGAACGAGTCTCTGATAGTGTGGCTGATGTTGTTAGGCCCTGTGAGGGTGTCCCCGGAATAGATATGTGGGCAGAGTTGGCAACGGGCTTTGTTGCAGGATAGGTTCCTGGGTTAGTGGTTCTGTTGTGTGGTATGTAGTTGCTGGTGAGCATTTGCTTCAGATTGGGGGGCTGTCTGTAGGCAAGGACTGGCCTGTCTCCTAAGATTTGTGAGAGTGATGGGTCATCCTTCAGGATAGGTTGTAGATCCTTGATAATGCGTTGGAGAGGTTTTAGTTGGGGGCGGAAGGTGACGGCTAGTGGCGTTCTGTTTTCTTTGTTGGGCCTGTCCTGTAGTAGGTGACTTCTGGGTACTCTTCTGGCTCTGTCCATCTGTTTCTTCACTTCCGCAGGTGGGTATTGTAGTTCTAAGAATGCTTGATAGAGATCTTGTAGGTGTTTGCCCCTGTCTGAGGGGTTGGAGCAAATGTGGTTGTATCATAGAGCTTGGCTGTAGACAATGGACCGTGTGGTGTGGTCTGGGTGAAAGCTGGAGGCATGTAGGTAGGAATAGCGGTCAGTAGGTTTCCGGTATAGGGTGGTGTTTATGTGACCATCGCTTATTAGCACCGTAGTGTCCAGGAAGTAGATCTCTTGTGTGGACTGGTCCAGGCTGAGGTTGATGGTGGGACGGAAATTGTTGAAATCATGGTGGAATTCCTCAAGGGCTTTTTCCCATGGGTCCAGATGATGATGACATCAATATAGCGCAAGTAGAGTAGGGATATTAGGGGACTAGAGCTGAGGAAGCGTTGTTTTAAGTCAGCCATAAAAATGTTGGCATACTGTGGGGCCATTCGGGTACCCATAGCAGTGCCGCTGATTTGAAGGTATATGTTGTCTCCAAATGTAAAATAGTTATGGGTGAGGACAAAGTCACAAAGTTCAGCCACCAGGTGTGCCGTGACATTATCGGGGATAGTGTTGCTGACGGCTTGTAGTCCATGTTTGTGTGGAATGTTGGTGTAGAGGGCTTCTACATCCATAGTGGCCACTTTTATGCATCAGATAAAGTGAGCTGTAGCTCACAAAAGCTTATGCTCAAATAAATTTGTTAGTCTCTAAGGTGCCACAAGTACTCCTTTTGATTTCTAGTGTATGCCTGGGGCAGCGGGGTGTGTGTACTGAATCTTAATTCTCAGTTAAGAAGCTTGTTATTTTGGGGAAATACAATCATGCTTGGCTAATGCTCTGCATTTGTTCTCCTGCTCTCTGCCCCTCAAGCATTGTGCCATATTAAGTGTTCTATTTTTCCCATATTTAAATGTATTTAAGCACCAAAAAACTACTTTCCATTTTCATTTTTTTCCAGAACAATCGTTGAACTGTTTTTATTAATTGCTTTCATCCTCGAAGAGCCCATATCTGCGACACACAATAGAAGCAAATGAATTGATGTTTTGAGACAAGGATGCTCTTTATCCTACAGAAACGATGACTCATGAGATTCCACAAGCCTCATCTCTATTCCTCCCCCAACTAATACGTTTAATGTAAGTTTTGTGTTTATATTAAAAGGCAGCCGGTGCTTACCTCACCAAGGAGCTTGTTTGAACATTGAGTTCCTGAGGAGAAAAAATTCCCTACCACAGCGAAGCTGCATTTCTAGTACTAATGCAGCCTTGCAAACTTCCCTAGGCAAATAAAATATCATCGGAGATTAACTCCTTGTGGTCGTCATAGTAAGTGTGAGAAGCTAGCTGGTATGCTGGTAAATGTTCAGGATATTTAGGAAGTCTTACTTAGGACTCCACAAATAGATGGCAACAGGCCTGTGCAGTTTCACGTCCAAGACTTGCTATCTTACTGCAAATCAGCATGTAAAATAAATGCCCCTCAGGCGCCATTGTTGTGTTGACTCGAAGGCCTAGCAGTTGGGGCATTTTAAAAAGGAAGGAGAGAGAGTCCTGCGCTGAGTGTTTCTGAGAGTCCTTCTTGCCAAATCATTCTCTCAAACCACAGTAGTCTCCCAAATACATGACTACTGTTCCGAAAAAGCAAATCCTCTTCCTTCCTGTGCAGCAGTGAAAGTTCACTTAGCGGTGGAACTGGTCTGTGTTTTTTTTTGTTTTTTTTGCTGTGTATAAGGGGACCAGGATTGCAGGGGTGCTCACACATGGCACATAACTTGATTCTGCAGGGACCCCGGCATGATAGCCTGCAGTAGCAAAGCACAGGTGGGCGGGGCAGGAGATCCATCACTGTACACATCCTTCCATTTTTACCAGCACCGCCATGAGGGAGGCTATCGTAGAATATCAGGATTGGAAG